TGTATGCAAGATAAAAAAGAAAATGACCCAACGTCTTTCTTCTCTCTCTCTTTCTCTTTCAAAACGTTTAGAAACAATATATGGCCTAATGCCGGATTGTCTATACGTCTACAGTTTTACAACGTGTCACAATGTTTCTCATTTGCATGCTTTGTGTCTGAAGCCGAATTATAAATTTCAACCTTCGAAATGAGAAATATTTTTGTGTTATAAATCATGAAGAAAAGAAAGAGAGAGAGACGCGTTTTGACGAAGACCTTCATCTCATGACGAAAACAGTCATCCATATATCTTATTTGTATATATTTGGAGACTATGCACTTGACTTAATGTATTCCAAAGAGAGAACTTATAATTAGTCTCGTATGCCATTGTAAAAGTTTGCGAAATAACACGGTTTATCATAGCCGTATTAGCTACTGCGCTTTCGTCTGCCTCTTATTTTATGTTATAAGTTTCTCAGAAATCATATGTTTCATAATAACAGAGTTTAATAAAAAATTGTATAAAATAAATAATAAAAAATATAAAGAGAGAGCAAAAAAGAGAAAAGTCGAAATATAGTGATCTCGCACTAAATTATTCCCTCGTGGATTAAAAAGAAAACATGTAATAACTATTACTCTCATTACCAAAAAAATATTATTGGCGTAACTTTTCTAACGAGCTAATATCAATACTGCAAATATTATACATACATGTAATAGCTTTATACTTGTCTAATAAATTCCATTGTGCCTTACATTACTAGTATTTTTTTCTAATCTCTCTTTTATTTTAGAAGTAAAAAAATACATTATATATATAAATTATTCTAAAATTTGTTTAGGAAAAGATTTTTTTTATAAAGTTTTTGCGATTCTTTTATGTCTCTTACAGATTCTCTCGAAGAATATAATTAAAGCGAACATCGTGCGCATAACACATTAATTATTAAGTAGAACCTGTTATCATAATGAAAAACATACTTTTATTCCAGCTAATGGTTTCTTACAAAAGATGGTTCTCCAAACAGATTGAGAGACTGCTTATGCAGGGAATATGTCGTCTTATTCGTTCTATTCAGAGATTTACATGTATAGAGACTTAATGCGCAGTTATCGATCGATAAATGTTACGACCGAAGGAAATCAATAAATTGGAATACTATCCTGAGGTGGTCGCTTGTAATGTACCTCTTATGTGAAAGAATAGATATAATATTAAAAAATATTCAGTCGAATTATCTAATATTTAAACACGCGATCTCATAATGGTATATGAAAGGATATATGCGTTATTACAATTTATTAATTTTTAAACGTTTTGTTTCATAATAAATAACGTATCAATAGCTTTAAATCAAACGATAGCCTCTTAATAATAACTATTAAAGCGCATTAAATCTTGAATTTAAAGCACATTCTAAAATGCACATCAGTTATTATAAATACATTTTAAAATTGTGGTTGTGTGCGTCTCTTTTTATAATTTTATAATACATACATATATTGAGAATTAATATCTGTTCAAAAAATGCGAAGTCATTATTTGTGTCTTATCAGAAGACGAACCTAACTTATTCGAGTCATAAGTCATTTGGACTTATGACTCGCTGCCAGATATGATACCCCATCAATACCGAACAGATCGGCAAACATTGTAATACATATTGTTCAACAGTAATAATATTACGTTACCAGAGTACACAAAGTTGTGTATCACGTATATTCTGTGTCATGTTGCTTTGAGAAACGCAAAATTCGCTAGAAGCTCACGGTACCATTATTATGTCAAGTGATAACGTGTAAGTAATTTTTATCATTGTATAAATTATTTTTATTAATATAAATATTCATTATATAATACAGATACGCATAAAGATAACAAGAGAACAAATTTTTAACATTGATATATTAATACATATCAATGAAATTGATTGATTGGTATCTTTCGATCGTCGAACGGTACAATTATCCTTTATTTTAATAGAAAATAATTTATCTATTGCTACTACTCGTTTACACAATTATCTTTCAAAATTTAAAATAATTAATATAAAAATTATTAATACAAAAATGATATCTGTCAATCAAACTCGGATATTTATATATAAGTAGAATAAAATAAAATAGAGTATATATATATACCCTATTTTATTTTTACTCTACTTTATTCCATTCTACTTTTATTTAATAATTAGTGATTAAAATGACATAATCAACAAAAAAAAAAAAAAAATATATCAAAAATAAAAAAAAATGATATAATTTCTAATATTTGGATAATTATGATAATTAAAAAGTGTCATATTATAAATTACAAATTTATTAATTGCCGAGTTCCTCGCTCTATTTAATTATAAACCGCGCATCACGAAAATCCGAATATGTAGAAATATATTCTTAGTTCAATGAATACAAAATTGATATCTTGTAATTTAATATAAAAAGGAAAATTTAACTCTTAATCATCTACTAAATTTAATTTTTAATCATCTACTTCTTATATAACTGGCTCGTCTACCAGCATTTCTAGTATATATGTATGTATACATATATATCAAGTCTACACAACACCCATCAATCGCGATCGACTGGTTGATTGCGTAATTCTCAGTCCACCGCAGCCTGATTCTTAGTCACTCACGATGGGATTCTTATCGTCAGTTTAATAACATGCAGTGGAATGCTATACTCCTGTCTTTGTTCTACACATTTGTGCAAAACAACTTTTTCTTATTTAAACATGACTCAAACTTCCCAATACTGCGACTTGACAAACATATGGAAATTTTAGAAAAAGAAATTGTGTGTGTAATACAATATGAGTACCGCCGTAATAAGCTTTCCGTCTTCCAAAAAAAATAAAATAAAATAAAAGTAAATCCATGGCGGTCGATCTATATGAGTATTTGATGGTTATGAAAATCACACTTTCCAGTAAAGATTCTCTATCACGTACTCACTATCATGTATATCTAATAAAAAGATTTAATTCTTTAATTTATTTTACAATGCGTGAAATTATTTTGCAACAAATGTTTCTTAGGAATCTTTCAAGACAAATAATTTTATTATCTTAAATAAATTTGTTAACTTTATCTAAATGTGTCTTTTGAACCGGTGACTCACATTTAAACACTCGTAATTCAAACATCTCTACAATTCTTCCCGGATTATTATATATATGCTAATGCCACGTATACGCATCACGAAAATTTATGAATATTTTTATGTTTATAAATTTAAGCGCGATATCACATTTCAAATTTCAATGTTACGAATTTATGCAATTCTCAACTTGAAAGTAAGAAATATAAAATATGTAATATTACAATTTATAAATTTATCGAAATAAATATTTAATGAGATATTCGTCGAGAATGAATTAAAGATTTGCAGTATTAGAAGGTATTTTAATTTCAAAATGATTACAAGATTTATAAAGATCACAAGATTTATAAAGTCATTAAATTGCAAGAGTATTTATAACTTTGATTTGACCTTTACACATAACTAATGAGATGGTAATTAAAATGCATATTGCTCATTAATATGCATACGTACAATGTAGTAACTAGCAAAAAAACCTGAATCTATCATTCAAATTAGAGGTTGTGATCGTAACCGATTAGTCAATTAATTGAAAATCGGTTAACCGATTGTAAAGAGAAGACACGTTTAAGATACGTTTAATATTCGACTAAACGATTAATCGGTTAATACGGTTTCGGTTAATCGATTAATACGGTTTTGGTTAACCGATTAATCGATGAAACTGATTAATTACACAAGACCACAGAATAAAAAAAGTATTTTGTTCTTGGAAAGAAGACCAACTGTTTCCTAATTAACCGAAATAATCGATTAAATGATTAACCGGTTTAAAGATTAATCGAATAATAATAATCACTCTAACCAATTACCCGTTAACCGATTTTAACCAGTAAATTCGTTTTTAACCGGTTAAACGGTTAATCGAATTAATCGGTTTTCACGAGCCCTAATTCAAATATATCATATTAGATTTAATATGTCGTATTCAATTTAAATACTTAAATATTTCAATTAAAGAAATAGCAATCAGTTGAACGCATTTAGTCAAGTGCTTGCCGTAAAATGCATTCGTGCGAGCGGATCTCGTTCCATTGAAACAGCCGGCTCGCACAGTGCACGCACATTGCAGAACGAAAGTGAGATTGCGTAAACGCTCCCGAAAGCAATCCGTTGGTGAGCGTTCGGATCGCGAGGAATTGCGCGCAAATCCGGCGGGAGACCTCGCGATTTCATTCAAGTTTTCGCAAAAAAAAAGATGCATTTCGATGACAGCGAAAGTGCGATGTTTAATATTTAAGATGTCTGACACCTCCGGAAATTTCTCCGAATATACAAGTGTAATTATAAAACTCGGTATGCATGTTAAAAATGATATTAAAATCTCTACTCTCTGAGATAAACTCTCAGAAAGGGTGGTTGTGCATGTATTTTTCACGACGACGATAGCATCGATACGCGAAGCTGCTCTTCAGGAATTCACACCTAGTCATTTTGGAAAAAAATCATCATTGCAGAGTAATCAACTGATAGAATTCTAAATCAACAATTCACAGTATCCTTCACAAGAATTGAATCGCCCGATCGCTTTTCTATTTAAAGAGCAGCTGTCTGGGAGAGAGATCCTTCGTCTCTCTTTTTCTCATCCAACGTCCTCTCGATAAACCGTGACACAAATAGTCACGTTGCACGATGAACTTTACGGAGAACTCGCACGGTTTAATGTCACGTAGGTCTCCCGGAGGTTTCAGGTCAATATTCGAGAGAAAGAAATATTTACATCACGCGACTTCAATTTCCCATAATAATTTTTCCTCCAGCTCTCTAGCTACCCTAGCTCTTATAACGATGCTCTACTGGCGGAAGTACAAACGCGTACCGAACGGTCACCCACCCATCCAGCCACCCACCCATCCAGAGACGGCTTCGCTTTAATAGACGTTTCTACTGCACGTTGATAATGGTTGCGGTCGTCTTATAGTCAGACATCTCTGGCAACGGCCGATGGCTCACGCTCGCGCGCCGACCAGCTGTCGCGATTGTGGTAGTGATGGAAAATTCGTGGTGGTAGCGGTCGGAGAAGCTCTATAGTCGAACGCGGTTTAGTCGCGATCCGTACACAAACGGCGGCGGTTCGTAACTTATCGAAGTTCATCTACGTCGTCTTCGGTGCTCACCTAAAGGCAGATCTAAGGATTGTTCGTCGCTGATAAGAGAGAGAGTGAGTATCTGAATGTAATTTGAAAAATTTCCGTTTTGCGCGAGGGGGAAAGATGAAGAGAGAGTGAGGGAATGATCTGTTCGAGTATAGGAAATTTCGGATATTGACCCTTTTTGAATGAACGCTAAATTAAAAAACTTGATTTTGTATCAGATTAATCCTTAATAATACGAAAAAATCTGCCAATTCGCATTTTTAATACTCTTATACTGATCATGTCAAACTGGTTCTTTTAAGAAATTACAGTCCCTTGTCCGTCTTTAATAATCCAAACGAACGTGCAAGCAGACGTGTTGCAAGAACTACGCAAGATGTGATTATAAACAGCATGCAATGCGCAACTATATTCTTTCAATCCGCGTCTTCTCTACTTGTTTTCAATTATTCTGATAATCAACTTGAGTTATGAATATACTCTTTATTGGAAAGTAATAACATTTTTTTAGTTCTTAATATTTCTCGACAATCAAAAATAAATTACAACTTTATTAATGTACAGTTTCTTTATCATTAAGTAAATTGTGCGAATTAAGTAAAATTAAATATTTTTATTGATTTACAATGCTAAGAGCAAAACTTTCATTTACGGTGGAATCTCTGAATCCACAGATTATCTAAACACCAATTAATCAAAGAAACATATACACGTTCTGACGACGTGTTACACACAATAATAGTTAATAATAGTAGTTATTTCTTTTATAAATAGATAGAACTTTTTCAACAAAACGTACGTAAACGTTCGTACACAAAAAAAGCAAAACAAGTTATAATAAGATATTATTAAATCAATGATGTCATCGCAATCGAAAAGAAATTAAATATAGAATTGATAAATCAATCATATGGGCTACAAAGAAAAAAAAATATGAAGATATGATCTGTGTTGAGAGTTCGTCAGGTATTCAAAAATATAAAATCCGTCGGCAGGTATTCAAAAAAATAAAATCCGTAAAAAAAAAAAAAAAATATTAAATATCGAACAGATATTTAAAATAATGTGTTAATTATTTTTAAAAAATCCATTATCTGAGCATTTTGTCCCCGATTTTAATTCGAATAATAAAAATTCTATTGTATTAATTATTAAAGCACTGAAACATCGAACTCAATAAAATGTTCGCTAAGTCGAAAATAAGCTTTACATTCTTTCAAGAATATGCTTTGAAAGTTTATCATAAATCTTATAAGACAAGCAGCGCTTGTGTATTTCATAATTTTTTTCTTTATCCGTTTTATATTTCACGCTGATGTAATTATAGATAGATCTTGTTTTGTAATACAGCCTGATTGCGTGCAGCAAAAGAAATTTAGAATATATGATTTTATGAGGTAACTTTATAAATTAATCGGACATTATAAATATTCCGAATTTTAAAGACTTTAAAAAACTTTTAAACAAAGCTAGCATTCAAAGTCTTCATTTTTCACTGCATATAAATCCGTAATATTGTAATATATACTAATTAATTAGCCAGACTACAATGACTATTTTTATGGTATTATAATGAAAAAAAATTAATTCTTCCTATAAATCATATAAAACATTCTATTCTTGATATTCGAGACTTAATCCAAACTTAATATGCAGTATATAAACATCTCTCTCTTGTGTGTGTGTGTGTGTGTGTGTGTGTGTGTGTGTGTGTGTGTGTGTGTGTGTGTGTGTGTGTGTGTGTGTGTGTGTGTGTGTGTGTGTGTGTGTGTTCTCTTGTGTGTGTGTGTGTGTGTGTGTGTGTGTGTGTGTGTGTGTGTGTGTGTGTGTGCGTGTCAAAAATAATTTGTATTAATTATAAAAGCATATTAAATATTATACTTCTCATTCAAAGCGCATAATAAAAAATTGAATATCTGTTATATATGTATAATATAATATATGTATAATAAATTTATTATATATGTATATAGTAAAAAATAATTTATACTATATTTTTTTTCGTTCATCTGATTTATCAGAAAGATTCTTTCAAATAATCTTCATATTATTTCCCAGATAATTAATGTATTTGGAAACGCCCCTTTTATATTGCCGTTATCAGTATCTTAAAATTATAACCGAACAACATGTTTCGTATAAATGCTTCAGAACCACTTTAGCCAATCTTGACCGTCTTATAAGAATTATTCAACTCTGTAAAGAAGATTGTACATCGGATTAGAAAGAAAAAGGTCAAGGAAAAATAAAAAAGAGCAAGGCTGCTCTCTTTAGGCGCGAATATATGAGAGAAGAACGTTCTATCAAATAATTCTGTGTCTGGTTCAGACAGGCTCTGATATTCGCAGAACTGACAAAGAATTTGCATCTGGAGGGGGAAAGGAAACCATTCGATTCGCTACCTTCACGGTCAAGATTGCTTAAAATGTGGTTCTGAACTGCCGTCGACAACATTTGTACAAAACACGTTGTACTTATCACGGCAACATAAAAAGAGATGTTTTCACATGTATCAATTATCTGGGAAACAATCTGAAGATTATTTGAAAGAATCTTTTTGATAAATAAAGTCACGAAAAAAAATATAGTATAAATTATTTTTTACTATTTCTATTATATAACAGATATTCAATTTTTTGTTATGCCTTTTGGATAAGAAGCATAATATTTAATATACTTAACTATACCTTAATTAATACAAATTATTTTTTACAAAAGAGATATTTATATACTATATTTTATTTGTATAGTATATAGTAATAAGAATATATAAACAACGATAATTGCCCATTTATCATTGAATAAAACGCGCTCGAAAATTGAATTAAAACTATTTTCATTGATATATTCTTATTATTATGCATGACAAATATATATAAAATGCAGTGTAAATATTTATCTTTCTTATGAGAAAAATATAATTTTTATTCATGATATAAAACCTTATTATACCCTGCCCAAAATGCATAATGAATAATTAAATATATATTACATTTATTCGATATATTAGTTATATATATAATATAATATAACATTTTTATATATTAGCATATATATATCATAGAATATATTCATCAATCTGCTTAACAGAAAAAATATTTCTATATTTATCTGAATGAACTTGTTGACAGAAAATTAAAATTCTGACACGTTTTTTACATACTTATATTTTTCGGTAACAGATTAACAAACGTTTTGTCACTCAAACGTGCTGCATTATCGTGTGGCCTTGTATTTTGAAACATTTGCGAGATCGCGTGATTAATCTCTTTTTCCGCCTTTTTGAAGCTTCAAAGAACGTGTTAATACCAGTTTTTAAAATTAACCTTGATTAAGAAGACGTTATTAATAACATATAATGCAAAAATTATTGACATATAATGCAAAATTATTGACCAATACACAAAAATTTATTTTATTACTTTCAATATTTATTGCATTTGATTTGTTTAACGATCAAAAATTTTGAAACAACACAATATAACGTGACGAATATAAATCGCATATAAACAAAAAATATACTCTTCAAAATGCATATATAAATATTTATTTATTTATAAAGACATCTTGAATTTATTCTCAATAGAAGACTCAATAGAAGTATGTCTCTTTAAATAATGATAAAAAAA